GGCCAGTTCTAGCGGTTTTAGTGCTAGTTTAGAAGGCGTTTATTTTACTACATTTGTATATCGACCTGAGAAATGTGTGACGTCATATTGGTGGTCCATATGGACCGGTCTAGAATATATTCCCCGGGAAATTAGATATCGTTCAATGCGTAAGATTTTCTGCTGTTTCAGTCCTGGTCGTTAACGGTGGTAATAATGTAACCAGGCTATTTCATATTTTGAATTTCATATTGATCAATCCCCATTTGTTTCCTTGTTCATTTTAACAGGTCCTTTTAATCCTCTTGCATCAACTACTTTTACATCCAGTATTTCAGATATTTATAACCATGTTGTTTGCAAGTCACTTTTGTATATATGTTCTATTGTTTAAACCAGTTTTGTATGTTGTTTCATGCTGTGTTTGTTTTTACTTTTCATTCATGTCTTCATGTTATATATATAGATCACATTCACTCACTCAGTTGAGTTTGGGTGTTGCCCAGTTAGTCAGTTAGTTAGTCAATTGTTGCAGAGATACATGTATCAGATTTTGAAATAGACTTTTTTAGACATTTTAAATCATAGTTTCTGTTGTATTTTATTCGCCACCCACGGCCTTCCATCGCCCATTTACATTGGTACCAGGAGTGGGGTTGGTGAGCGAAACAGTGGGGTAGGAAGATTACATTGGTTGATGAGCGAAAAAGTGTGGTAGGCAAGGATGTAAAGTTGGGTAGGCACAAATAGTTTATAGCTGACTGACTAAATTTTAGCAACACAAAATGGATTTATCATTCGTGACCTGTTGGTTTTGTAAAGGAAGAGGCCATCGTAAAAGACAATGCATTTCGTTTATCCAACAGAGATATTATTGTTTATTATGTGAAACTAATGGAATGCATCGCACCAAGGATTGTCAATCATCTTTGACTGTAAATTGTAAATCTGTGCATGTACAGACTAAGCCGAAAACGCACAACAAGTACAGCCAAGCAGAATCTGTAAATATGGACGTTTATACCAATGCAATTTCCGATTATAAGCGGATCGAAAGCGAACTCTATGGTCAGAGGAAAGGAAACCAGATGTATAAAGAAAAAATTGCAAAATTGGAAGTTGAACGATTGGACGACAAAACTCGGCTGAAAACACAAAGGAAATTGATAAAATCTCTGGAAAACGATATTCGTGAATATAGTGATAAATTATATACCTCCACCAGTGAATCTAGTCTTCTGCAATCTAAACTTCAGGAATCCGTAAAACAAATTTCTGCACTGTCATCACGTTCCAACGAATATTCAGCTATAATTGCGGACATCGAAAATAAACTTAAGGATCGAACGCAAGATTTAGAAACATATACGTCAGTGATCCGATCTCAACAAATCAGAGTCGATGACCTTGTCAAATCGTCTACTGGAAATTCAAACTTCTTGGGACTACTAGGAAATCGTATCTTTCACAAGACCTCATTATACAATCCATATACCAATCTTACCAACCAACCATTAATCTTTGATGTCTGAAGAACTCGTGTGCTTCAACTAGCCACTACATGATGATATGAGATAACGTACAATCTAACACTGCTGTTGATATAATTCTGTTGAAATGATATAATGATGCTGATGTGATATTGATAGTGATATTATTGACTTAAAAATTAATGTGTTTCAATTTTACACTTAATATTATAATCTAACATTTTCTTTAAGTTTGACTTAAATATGATAATCATGCAAGTTATTACATTTTCATCTTTGCTGCATTATAGTTAAACCATTTACAATCTCAATATTTGCAGATGTTAATTATAATCTCTAGTGGTGTATAGCATTGCCTTAAATGGTGTATTGCTTGGTCTTAATTGATGCATAACTGCTTTAAATGGTGTATAACATAGCCAATCATGGTGTACTACTTTGCCACAGAATGGTGTATATTTAAGCCCATAATGGTGCTGCCAAGAGATACAATTCAACATTTTGCTTATATTCTTCAGGTTTATCGTAACACAATGCAAATTTCAGTATCTAAAATGTAGCATTGATTCACGTATGATGCCACTTCATTACTGTTTTCTATTGTTATTCAATTAATGTATTATGTGTATGTGTTAATTCTTAGGCACTTCAATATGGTGTTACTTATATTGTATTTTGTTCAGGTAGTGGATGTTTTTCAGGGGAGGATAAACCTTTACGAAATATTTTATTGTAAATCATTTTGAAAAGTGCAGTTTATTATGTTTTTGTAACTTATTTTTAATATTTATGGCCGAATAAGGTTTAATGTGGGACCATTAAAGACGTTGTCCGCGTGAATGTAACCAGGCTATTTCATATTTTGAATTTCATATTGATCAATCCCCATTTGTTTCCTTGTTCATTTTAACAGGTCCTTTTAATCCTCTTGCATCAACTACTTTTACATCCAGTATTTCAGATATTTATAACCATGTTGTTTGCAAGTCACTTTTGTATATATGTTCTATTGTTTAAACCAGTTTTGTATGTTGTTTCATGCTGTGTTTGTTTTTACTTTTCATTCATGTCTTCATGTTATATATATAGATCACATTCACTCACTCAGTTGAGTTTGGGTGTTGCCCAGTTAGTCAGTTAGTTAGTCAATTGTTGCAGAGATACATGTATCAGATTTTGAAATAGACTTTTTTAGACATTTTAAATCATAGTTTCTGTTGTATTTTATTCGCCACCCACGGCCTTCCATCGCCCATTTACAATAATATTAATAATGTCATTTCTGCGAGCAATATTTCACTATATCGGCCTTAGAAATGATGTTATTGTACTATTATTATTACAGTTTAGCAGTCATGAGTCATTTCACACCTACCTGGCTACAGGCCTGCCTATTCATGAAAAGACTCATCAATTTAATAACTATAGCAGAAAAGTGTGTACATGATTATATACATCCTTATTACTCTAAATAGAGTTGTTCTTTTGACCCTGATTTGTTCAAGTACTACTGCGTTGTTAACAGAAATATTGATTCGATTCTCAATACTACATTGGAAGTACATAGGAAATTTACTTAATCGATTGATGCTCTAGCCTTTCGGTGGTTCATTGATTTGAGACATGTTTACTTATAGTACTTTTTACTTGATATCATGCACATATATCGTGAACGTCTACAATGGGGTAAACATTGATTTTCCAAGTTTACAAATACCAAACCAAAGCTGACATACACCCACTCAAAAACTGACATACTTGGCCTTAGCCAAAACCGGCACATATATGTATTTGGGCTTATAGTCAAACCTAACACATATTTGACCTAATCCAAAACTGGCATATACTTGATCTTATCCAAACCTGACATATATTTGGCCTTAGCCACTTGCTGACACATACATGTACTGTACTTGGGGTTACCCAAAGCTGACATATACTTGATCTTAGCCAAAACTGACATATACTTGGCCTTATCGAAAACTGACATTTACTTGGCCTTAGTCAAACCTGACAAAACTTGAGCTTATCCAAAACTGACATAAACTTGAGCTTATCGAAAACTGACATTTACTTGGCCTTAGTCAAACCTGACAAAACTTGAGCTTATCCAAAACTGACATAAACTTGAGCTTATCCAAAACGGACATAAACTTGACTGTATCCAAAACTGACATATACTTGGCCTTACCCAAAGCTGACATATACTTGATCTTAGCCAAAACTGACATATACTTGACCTTACCCAAAGCCGACATATACTTGATCTTAGCCAAAACTGATATATACTTGGCCTGGCCTTAGTCAAACCTGACAAAACTTGAGCTTATCCAAAACTGACATAAACTTGAGCATTTCCAAAACCGACATAAACTTGACCGTATCCAAAACTGACATAAACTTGAGCTTATCCAAAACTGACATAAACTTGAGCTTATCCAAAACTGACATAAACTTGAGCTTATCCAAAACTGACATAAACTTGACCATATCCAAAACTGACATAAACTTGAGCTTATCCAAAACTGACATAAACTTGACCATATCCAAAACTGACATAAACTTGACCTTATCCAAAAACTGACATAAACTTGACCGTATCCAAAACTGACATATACTTGACCTTATCCAAAAACTGACATAAACTGGCAAAAGCAACAGTGATCTCCTATATTGAAAAATCAATTTTTACAATATAACTGTATCCCTACCAAACATGAACACACGACCAGTTCTCATTTTTGACAATCTTTATTAAATTATTGCGGCGTTAAGTTCAGGCTCTTTAATTCACAGAATGCCTTATTGTAGACAGACTTGAATCTTCTCTTTATCCCCAACTTTATCTCGACTCTAATCAACTTGTCTTTGAAGTCACTATCTTGAGAAGATGCAGTAAACAAGGCCAATGACGTAGTTCAACTAAATGTTGAGTACGGTTATTGATTACGATGTTTTTTCCTGATAACACCCTTTTTAATCATTGATGCCATGCTTTAAATGTGGGAGTCGTATATCTCTTAGTATAAGATATTTTGTTGTTGCATTTATTGCCTTCATAAGTTACTGACATTGCATGGGCATAGCCAGGTGGGTGCTATGGGTGTGATCGCCATTACTTTTATACAATGTAGATTTTTAAAAAATTTCCAGGGGTGATCCCCCATACCCCCTTTTTGGGGCTCACTGACCACTCACAGTGATGCAAACTCAAAAATTCGCACCCCCTTGACATTTGCAAGCTAAGACCCTTAGGACATCGACACCATATTCCCCTGAACTCCCCTGAAAAGCAAATTGCAGCTACATTTTGCATGTAAATGCTTATGGAATTCTCAGAGCTATGTCATCACCCACCATCAAAACGAATTTGTCATATTATTGCACTTTATGCCTTCATAAGTACCTGCCATTAATTGTGTTTCTTGAAACTCCCCTGAAAAATCAATGGCATCTACTTATGCAGTCATTTATATCTTATCAGTGTCCATGTAATAATGTCACAGTGATGACTTCTCAGAGAATGATAATTATTACTCCTAGGCTTTGGTCTCCAGGGTTAGGAAGTGGTTAACCTGATTTGTGCAATTAGTTTCTGAGGATTTTTTCTCTGATTGAATGATGGTAAACCATCTGTTACCTTATGCAACAGTCATGTGACCATCATCGACCAATCAGCTGTTAGGAATTCTCCCTGGCTGTGATATCCTCTTGGGATTGATGGGAACACTTTGTGTATATTTACTATGCTACGTTTGCATGCTTTGGCATTCTTATAGGAGAGAGAGAGCAAAGTGGCAGGTGATATCTGGTTCATTTATTCATTTATACATCTAAATCAATTCGATTTTTTTGAGGAGTAGACGGATATAAACTTTTTTACAAATTTTACAAATCATTGGTGGGGTTATCATCAGATGGCCATTGTTGATGAAACCGCAAGAGTTCGCTGTAAACTGTAAGTTGGTCTTGATTTACACAGATATAAATTGTAAATACATGTTCATACTAATATTTTATTTGTTAATTTTTTGTTAATTGTGGTCCACTTGTTTATGGTATTACTGTAAAACGGGTATTGTTAGCGAGGGGTAATTGTTAGCGATTGTTAGCGATCGCTATAGTTTCGCTAAAAATTCAATTCGCTAAAATAAACCGATGTTAAAATAAACCGGGCGCTAAAATTTGCAAATTCCCGGGAAACTACATGAATACTAGTATTAAAGGAGCTTTTCGTTCAGTGCTCGACCTCCGGTTTGTAATTTGAAAAAGGTAAATATTTTTAAATCGTATGTTTCTTTCAATATCTGAAGGATAAATAGCCATCCATCCAGTTTGGACCAATACCATGTGCGTTAGAAGTCTTACATTTTGATAATTCCTCTGTCATGTCCGTTATTCATTCTTCTGCCATAAATGATAAAATTTCGATACATTTCGCTAATTTGATTTCTTAAAGATTAATCTTCATTTCGCTAAAATTTCCCGCGCTAAAACCCCCTAAAATTGAAAAATCGCTAAAATTTCCCGGTGTCAAAATTACCCGTTTTACAGTATTTAATTTCTTTAAATGAAATCAAAGCACAGCACTTAAAGTCATATATCATATTCTTAAAAGCCTATATTGCCTATATTTTCACAATTTTAGAAGAAAAATAATGTCTGACATGGTATTTTTTATAAAATGTTGGCCTTGTGCCTGACTGGTATATGCTTTTATTAACACTTTGGATGTTATTAAATAACAAATTCATCCGTACAGAAATAATGAACTGTAAACAAAACAATACACCTGTCATGTTACATTCAGTTTGGGTTGTAATTTTAGCAAAATTTTTCCTTGAAATAAAAGTTTCATGGAGTGATATGTTTTATGTCAGTTAGTAGTCTAGGATTATGTCTCTTGACCACCCCACCCCTTCTTTTCAGTTTCATCTCCAGGGGTGAGGCCTGAAAGGGGGGGGGGGGCGTCACAAAATCTTGAAGTCTAGGTTAAAATCTTAGGCTGTTTTTAGTTTTAAGGTAGGAAATCCATTTACTGTCTAGCAATAATGAACGAGACATCCAGAGATTTGTGTCACTGTGTCAAGGGTGAACACGTGTATTTTTATTGAAAATCAATACGAGAAGCTATTCTATTCTTTTATTTTCAAAACATTCATTTATATTACTTTTTTTATGTGGATCAGATGGAATTTTATTGATTTATGAATAAGCTGAATGGTTTCCATGGTTATTCAATACAATAGGCGTATACTATAATACTTCAGAAATTGACTTTAAAAAGGAGTGGGGGGGGGGTTACATTGGAGTAGCAAAACATGAGGCAGGAGAGGCAATCACCTCACCAAAATTTTAAAAATAAATTTTAATAAATTTTAATTCAGACTTACGCGTATATTTATTCGAAACTGTGAAAAAGAAGTATTTACCTTAAATTTGCCTCACCAGTTTAATTTTGCCTCATCAATTTAAATTTGCCTCACCTATTATTACTATTATAGGTCCTGGCTATGCCCTGGTGTGGCATAGTATGGAAAATTTGATTAGTGCAAGAGCATAGCCCAGGATCTCATTTAGGTGAAGAAAATGTGAATAAGGGAGACAAAAATTGAGTTGAGACTATCAATTCTACTTCTTTTACTATATTCTATCAACAAATCTCTTTGAAGATTTCACGATGTACAGGAGTTTCACTAGAATTTCTCACAACAGGCAAAATTAATGGAAATAATAAATTTAACATGGAAAAGTTGAAAAGTCCCAAAAACATTAGGCGATTTTGTGAAAACAACCGGTGAAATTCACCTGTGCCCCTGTAACCCCTGATGTTGCTTGCTAAAATGAGTTAATTATGACCACCTATTGAAAACTATGTGCAAACTCATTGTTCATCCTGAACCAGGGTGGATGATAATGACAACCATGATCCAGCACTATGTGGCCAAGCGCAATGTGGCCCAGCACTATGTGGCCCAGCACTAATGGCCCAGCACTATGTGGCCCAGCACTGTCTATGGCTCCTCTATTGTTCAAGTCAATATTGGCAAACAGCCTTCTTACTTGAGAACAGGCCTGATAATAGTACAATAACATCATTTCAAAGGCCAATATAGTGAAATATTAGGAATCTCGATACCTCAGATGGACTTCAAGGTAATCTATTCAAACCTGATATTGAAATACAATACAGGATTTACAATAAGAAAAAATAGTATAGCTTTTAGAAGCAGTCAATAACATACCAGAAGCAATTAATAATATAAAAGCATACTATATTGGTTAATGGTAGAGTTCTTAGATATAAGACAAGTATTAAGATGTATACAGGTGTAGGATTTCATATATGTTGCTTCTAGGCAATATGTGGAATTGTATTGTTCCTTCTGCTACTCATCGCATTTTTCTGCCTTCAACTAGAAACATCATGGTAGAAAGAAGCTAGAAGGCCATGATTTCTCATGGTGTCAGTAGTTGAATGTTCTAGAAGCAGATTAGGGATTTTGATCCTTGAATATAATCAGTAGATTTGTGGTCCTTGATCACTAGAAATTCAAATTCAATGGTCCTCGTACCTGAAGAGATTGTTTATCACCTATAAGGACCATTCGATTTTAATTATTACAGGGCCTACAAAAAATAACAGTTTTATGTGAAATCTAACTATACTTTTAATTTAGATAATTAATCTACTCTGATTTATATCTGAAAACTAGACCACACATGTCACATCCATTCATAACAAACAATTATTGTACTAGTCATCTAAATCACACTACTATACCTAACACCTAGAAATGCATAAGATACTTTGTTTGTCTAATTGAATTGTTTAATATATTTTTGAAAGTGCCTTACTAGCATCTAATTTTCAACCGATAAACCTTTCATAAGGAACAGACAAATAAAAACAAATACATAATCATTACTAATAAGCCAAATGGGTTGCTCATGAACACCAAATGCAAGGTATGGTAGTGTGTAAATGTCACAGCAACTGATTTGCTTTCAACTTTTCAACTCTGACTTGACTCCAGCTACAGTGCTGTACCCACCCCCCCCCCCCCCTCCTGTGCCCCCAGACTATTTTAAGTATATCATATTCATAGGCATATCGCCCGGTAGGCTGGGTACGCACAGGCGTACCAGATGGTTGCAAATTTCGCTCCAAAAACAACCAAATTTCAAAATTTTCCCCAGCCACCCTAAACGCTCGTTTTTTGCTTCGCTCGACTCTTGTTCCCGCTGTGGCTTACTACTTAGAAATATAGCGCTACGCCCGTGATATTGTGACTTAAGTCTCAAGATATGTATCATATTGTTACATAATATATCATTGGATTCCTATTTCTCATATACTAGCCACAGGCTTGGTGATTCATAAGAGGTTACTATAGTTATGCCATTGTGCATTCAAATAATAGCATCCGTAACTAATGCTGACCATAGTGACACACCATTGATGAAAATTAACTTTACGTACGTATGCAATTGGTTTCATGATCGGTCTGGTGATGTGTTTCGATGTTTGTAATAACACACTAATGAAAAAGGTGTTACCTCTCTGCATCGGTCTCTAATGAATCTCTGCTTTTTATGTCAATTGTTTTGTGTTGATGATAACTATCTCACCTTACCTTCTTCTATTTGGCCACTATATCGTGGCCTTCGTCCAAAGATATGTTTTTTACTGCTGTATATGGGTCATGTCGTAATCATAAAATTTGAAATCAAATGTTCGCCATTTTTCCATATCACAATTTGAATTGCGAGTTTTGGTCTTATATATTACCTCACCAAATATTCCAAAACAAACATAAAGTGATCAATGTATTAGTTCACATCTTCTGGATCGCTAACTTAGAATTTACAGCAGTTACTAATGTCAGTCGTTAAAGAAATTTCAATCAGTTTTCAAATATCACCATTTTTCTTGGAGCAGTTTGTTTTAATTTTAGACAAAATCATGCAATATCTCATCAAGGAGCTAATTAGTTCCTTTTCAATTCATGAAATTAAACATCACGGTTTTTACAATATTACTTAAATTTATTGAACCCCGACTAGAAATTTTACAATAGTTCACGGTGTTCCAGATGGAATTACTTCTAGCCAAGAATTGGCTAGAGACCTGAGTAAATCTCACCGAATGAAGTTTGTAGGGATATAGAGAAGCCATTTGTTTGTTCTTTTGAATATGGCTGCTCACTTAAATATGGCTGCCATTTTTTCATAAAAAATGTAATCTTTGAGAAATCAAATACCAGTTGTCAGATTTTGTGCAAATATCATACTAGGCTGCTTTTAGTTTTATGTGCTGATGTCTTAAAGGAGGACTCAATATGGCTGCTTAATTCAAAATGGCTGAAAGGTGAAAAATAATTCACGATAACTCAAAAGTCAAAACTCGAGTCAAAATCAGAGTTGAAAACAAAAATAGATTTTCAAACTATTTGATTATTAGAGTTGCCAATTTACAGTACCACCACTCGTGTCATGTCAAGTCATTCTCATGATGTCAAGTCATTCTCATGATGTCAAGTCATTCACATGATGTCAAGTCAAATTCTGACTTACTTTAGTATTTTTATGTCACCACCAAAAGTGGTGACATATTGTTATGGTCTCCGTTTTTTTGCGACGGCGTCCGGCGGTTGGAGGTTGGCGTCCGGCGTCTGTAACAATTTCTTACAACTTCCTATTACTTAACAAATACTGTTTAGATTGACTTCAATTTTTTTCTAAATCATCTACATGTTCTCAGAAGTTCAAATCTGACTTTAGATTTGACATTTGACCTTCAATGACCTTCTCAAGGTCAAAAAGGTCTTTTTTCAACTTGCTTCACATTGACTAAAATTTTTTTCAAAATCATCTACATGTTCTCAGAAATTCATATCTGACTTTAGATTTGACTTTAGATTTGACATTTGACCTTCAAATCTGACTTTAGATTTG